TAAAGATAAAAAATATATATAGATCTACATTTGATGAAATGATAAATTTGCTTGCATTAAATCGCCAAGAGAAATCCATCCAATTTATATTCGAGAGGAATACAATTAGAAGGTGAAATTTTAACAAGGATTTTGATGAAATTCTAACAGCATTTGTCGCGAAATGTTGCCCGCGACTTTCAACGAAGCGATGTCAACGTAACTTCATTCTTCGGCTCCTATAAGATGGAGCTCATTATCACGAGCTTATATTCCGACTTTATGGATGAGGATGGAGAATTATCGGGTCGCATAAAAAAGATACCTCTTCCTTCTTTAATGTCGATCCTGATGAGATGCCGAATCGTAATATCCGAATGATTTCGGACTTTTTGACAGCGAAGCCCTTTTTCGCGCGATTCATCTTTCATTTCCCGCATCTTTTGCACAGTTTGCTGTTATTTAAATAAAATTATATAGATGAAACTTTGGCATCATCTTATCTTTATATAGATAATAAAAATATGTATCATCTATATCTGCATCTTAAAGATGAAAAAAAAGTATTATCTTTACTAAATTATCTAAAATAATTTTTAAATAATTCTGATTAAAAATTTATAAATAAAAATAGGAACACAATATTTTTATATCTTTTTATAATTTACTTTTTTTTATAACTGTATTTATATAAGCAGTCTTGAAAATTATTATCTAGATGAATTGCCATATAATTTTATCTAGATATATTTAAAACAAAATCATCTTCATCTTATCCAAGATGAATTTTCATATTTTTATCTCATTTTTATCTAGCTAATTTTAAAATCATTTAAGCACAACACTGCTTTTGCATCATCATTCTTAGGGAAAGTATAAATTCGGCCTCGTATCGATTTCCTCGCCGCGTTCTTCGGTTATTTCGCTCCTTCCATTAAGAAATCGGGAAAGTTATGGATTATTCGAACGTTGAATATCGAGGAGAATGAAAGCGAGACAGCAACCTCGGACTCTGATAAGCGACCGAAATAACTGCAATTTTCTCGGAGATGTGTGGGGCTACAGTAAGTGCTCCACTTTTCTATCAGATGACAATTGAGTGACAGGTGCTCTTTCGGCATTTTGGATTCAATTTTTTGACTTAACGAAATGATTTTTTTAGTCAGACTCCGCAGAGTTAGAGTTGTCAAAAAATAATTTTTAATCACAAATGATGACGTTGCCAAGTTGTTTCTCTCACTATGGGTCCTTCAGGTCCAGCAGACTCAATGAAAAAATTCCCTGACTTTTACAGATTTTCTAAAACCAGAAATTAATTTTTCCCTGATTTTTAGTATTACTTTTTCCAAATATATAAATCAATTAAATGTCAAATCATGAAATCTTGAGATATTTTTGTTAAAAATGAAAAGGAAATTTAAAAAAAAACAAAAATTTAAATCAATTACAATTTGCATTATGTACGATAATCAATTTTATTTTTAATATATTTTCACAAATTATAATATACATATATTTAAATATATTTATGATATCTAATATCACAACAAAACTTTTAAACGAAACATTTTTAATAAAATTAATGTATTAAATTTTTAATTAAAAAATGAATTAAAATAAAGTTTTTGAACAATATTATAATTTTTTAGCAATATTATATTTTGAAATATATAAAACATGGAAATAAAATAGCACGACGAGGAAAATATAAATTAACGAACACGCTAGATGAATCGATTTTTGACAACACAGAAAATTAGCATTTATTTAATAAAAAATGTCAAATTATTGAGTCAAATGTAGAATAATGTAAAAAAGTCTAGATAAATAGTAAAATTCTCTCACTTTTCCCTGACAATTCCAGATTTATAAAATTCCCTGACAATGCCCGGTTTTCTAGATTTCCTTGACTGATTTGCTAGACACCCTGGTCTTCAGGTATGTTCTTCGACAAAAGATTTCGAGATAAGAAATCGTTGCTAAGAAATACGTAACACTCTGAAATGTGAAAAGTTGGAAAAGTTCTGAAAGAGGACACGTTGCGACAGACTCGCTTCGATAGTTTCGCCGAGGGAGAATCGATATCAAATTTGTCTCGATGACAATGTTATTAAAATTTGTTTCGGTTAAAAGTTTGCCGCTTCCTTTCTCATTAAAGATATCACACCGGCTTCAAGTTGATACAGGACAAAAGACATTGAAAATTAGACATGTTTTCTTTATACTATCTATTTTGTCGCTTTATTTTCGAGACAGCTGTAACGATTACTTAGAAGCTGCGCAGAAAGAATTTTTTCTTAGGACAATATGGTATAGGAAAAATTTTATGAGTTTTCTGATTAAATATTTTACCACGATAAAAATATTTAAAAATATTTAATATTTATCACAATAAGATATAAAATATTCAGTTTATTTTATTATGTACACATACTGAAAAAAATTATTTAATTATTCAAATAAATATTTTCTTTCAATACTATTTTATACATCATTTTTTGAAACTAATTTGAAACATATTGATCTGCTGTGAAAAATATTTATTTGATATAAGAAATTCTTTTTCAAAACAGATAAATATTTATTTGTTTCAAACAAATGTGTAAATGGAACTATTTAAGTAAATATTTATTTGAGTTCAATAGTTTTCTTTTCGGGTAGTAAATTATTGTATTGTGGTAGGTATTAATATAATTTTTTATTGCGATAAATATTAATCAGAGAAACTCGTATAAAATTCTTCACGAGAAAAATGGACTACATTACTAAATTTTATCTATGATAAGTAATATTTTTTAGTTATAGTTTAACGAAAAAATGATAAACTTTTAGGCCTGAAAACTAATCCATTGTCCATGATAAATTCTAAGAGAAAATTCTCTCTGTGTAATGTCGAATATATAAAATTCTAAAAGTCACGATACAAATAAATCGATAAGACTTGACCTGGAAAAAAAATATATTTGCCGAGGCCGAAAAACTCTATACCGTTAAATATTATCGCAAATAGCAGCAGCGAGATTTCCGTATCTCTCTACGTATATTATACATATATAGTTTCGCTCGTTCTCTGCATTATAGGCGATTCGATACGCTGTCGTCCTGAATCTTTAAAGCGTTACATGTCGATTTGTGTCAAGTGGCTTATAAATGGAAAGTAACGCGCGTACTATACACTCGCACTCGCTCAATGGCAGATTTATCGATAGGCGGTCGCTTAGGGTCCTTAACTCTCGAGGGGCTTTCACAAATCATTCTGTGAATTACAATTGTTCCATAGGATGACATTTTGGCTGAGAGAGAAAATTGATTCAATACTCGATGGAATTCAGCGAGAGATTTCATTAATGTTCGATTTATTTTAATTTAAGAAAGGAATTATATACATATTATTTGGAAAAAATAATCGAAATATATCGCATATTAATCACACGGGCTCAAATTTCAAATTATATCAATATACATGGAATTTAATCTGACGAGGTTTCGCATCAAAGAGCCATTGCATAAAGACATTATCATATAACACAGAATATCGTCTCTTAAATAATTTTCCTTTCTCAATTAACGGTTTAATTATATTATGATAAATTATTATGATAGTATTATATATTCTGCACGGCAATGTTCACATTTGCTTTGAATGAATATTGGGTTACTGTGTCCCATTCGCCAATCGATAACTACAAAGAATAAACTTTTGGTTATAAAATTAAATTATTGGGTTTAAAATAATTGGCAACGATTTCTAGAAATGATGCAAAATAACATGATTAATGTCGAAATAATAGTAATCGTTTTATCTCGCTAAATTTTCTCTCTCTTCTGAAATACAAATATCACTCAAACAAATTTTCTTTGAGAAAGATAAGATTTGTAATTTATATTCTCTTAGAATATCTAAACATCTCTAATATAAATATTTTCAAGCGAAAGAGGTTTCCCTTTTACTACACTTTTCCTCAAAAGAGATTTTGCAAATACTACAAATTAATACATTCGTATTATTTTTAGAAGAGTCTTGAAAGTTTAAGAAAATATTCCTTTACACTGGCGAAACGATTTATTTTGCACAGAAAGAATACAAGTATTAAATCAACACTTATATACTGATATAATCTTATAAGAATATGCTAAATTAAAAATTTTAACAACAGTACAGTTTTATTTCAATATTATATATCTGAAGAATATAATAAAATATGTTATTTTATGCGAAGATTAGTTGTTTTTCTTTTTCATTTAAGAAAATTCTTAAATAATAAGATTAATATTTTCCTTGGTTGAATTATATAAATTTTGATTTGACACTTTTGTTGTGTACACTGAGGAAAAAGTTGTTAACTAAACCGTTCAATTAATTACTATTTTGTTAATTGAACATATATAAGTAAAATTTAAATTAAATACAGCATATGAAATCTAACATGAAACGTGTTTTGACTTAAATACTTATATGTTCAATTAACAAAATAATATATAATTGAACGATTTAGTCAAGTTAACAATTTTTTCTCACAATCAGTATATATACGAGTACATATAAGTGTTGATTTGACACTTCCTTTTTTTCTGTGTGTCAACGATCGGCGTTTCTTCTTAAGGGGATGCTGATCATGACTGTTTTACCGACTTTGAGGTCAAGGGTTCTTTTTATTGGCTATACAGATTGAAAAGTCTTCTCCACAATTAAAGTACTGATATTAATGATACGAGGAGTCCTGTAATTTCGTATAAAAAAACAATAAAAGTCACAAAATTACAGTTTTTTATCGGCTTTTTGCATCATCTCATAACAATAGTTATTTAATACAAAAGTTCTGCAGTTTATTTGTGCACAAAATATGGCGCTCCCAATAGAGATGACATGAAAGAATTTCATGTCATCAGTACTTTCATGGGGGAGGATTTTTCAATCTGTATATTCAATAAAAAGTGAACCTAACCTAACTTAAAGTCGGTAAAACAGAACAATGGCAGCATCCACTTAAATAAACTGTCATATCATTTAACGCGCGAAGAGAAACAAACGGGTGGAAAAAAATCCGGCAAAAAAAACCGTGCAGGGTTTTTGCGTTCGAACGTCAATTTAATCGCGCAAAAGCGAAAGTCGGTGGACCGGTGGGGCTGGTCCATGTCATCGGGAGGATGCTGGCGTGCGTCTATCCGCGGGAAAACTTCGAGGTGAAAACCGTGGCTGTACGGCTTCATCATGGAAAATCGTCCAAGAGGAAGTCCAAATCCAATATAAAGGAAAAACTTCCTCGGTCACCACGAAGGCGGAATGCAGCAACGAGCGAGTAGGACACGAGGTAAGGTTCTGCTCGATGCACTTTTCGCTCTGATGCCTGCATCGGGAAAGAGTGAGAGAGAGAGGGAAGAGGTTTACACATTATGAATAAATACGTAAAAGTTTGTGCAAACGCGTCGGCGATATTCTATGACAACGATAGTGCATTATTAAAACTTACTAGAAACGTATATAATTTAATATGACAAGAAACGTTCAAGTTTTCAACGTTTTGTATACGTTACGTACGATGCTATTGCAATTAAGAAAATTTCATGGTATAATACGAAAAAATTATATTTAGCTACTAATAAATAGCTAATGTTAACTAATATTTTGAAGCTATTTAATAGTCTATGTAACTTGTTTAATAGTTTAATTCTCTATTAAATTATAATTATATTAGTTGGAGAAAATTTAGCTGTGATAGCTATAAAATTTTTTTCCATAAACGCTGCATCAAAAATTTGTTTATATTTGAAACAATTATATGCATAGTTATCAATTTGTGCATCGTTTAAGAAAGGAAAACATAGTATTAACTATTAGCTAAATATAATAGCTGATTAATATTTTTTAGCTACATATTTAATAGTGTCTATTAAATTACAATTATATTAGTTGGAGAAAATTTAGCTGTGATAGCTATAAAATTTTTTTCATAAACGCTGCATCAAAAATTGTTCAAAAATATTTTTTATATTTAATAGTTTAACAGGAAACTCTCCGTTAAATTAAAAATATATAATTAGAGAAAATATTCGGGAAAATTTAGCTACGGTAGAGAGAGGAAAAGAGAAAACGTTTGAAAGTTTTTATTCCATTCCAGGTTAAATGAATGTAGTACATGTATATGCCTAAAATGTTGCAGTTTTTATTTGAACGATATCGTACAAACATTTCATACCGTAATTATCTCCCTCTTGTACTTTACTTTAGTAATACTTATAACTTTCATCAGTGTACTACATATTGCATAAAACGTATAATCCTGTATAATGAGACAACAAGCTCGTCCTTTATATGTGCTCAAGTCTAATTTTCCACACTTATCTTCTTATTTCGCTTCATAAAACGTTAGCGCGTTTTATTTTTATTGCAAGAAGAGTATGCAAGCAAAAAGATACATTTTAAACAAAAACGTTCGTACAGCAGTAGTTACTCCTCACATTTCGTTAATTTTCTTATGCATTTATAGCGAAAAAAACGCTAATTTTTTTATCTAACAATTACGACGGAAAAATATTTTCCTCGGTTCGAGAGACATATAATATATATTTAATACGAGGTGAGGTGCGAAATACGCGCGTACAGAAATTTTTTTTATACCTAATGAAGAAATCGAAATTACGCTTACATCAATTTCGCGAATGAATGCGCCCGAAAAGAAAAGAAACAAACTGTCGATTACGTTACGGCTTCTTTCGCGCTACCTGTTCTCAGGCTCTTGGAAATTAATTTCGCAAGGGGATCGTCCAGGCGGGATCATCCCTCGAGGATTATCCGCTCCTACAAGAATCCGTTTCTATGAGAAATTTCTTTTTCGTCTACGTGTTCCCACGGGGGAACATCTTTTCGCAACTTTTCCGCCCATTCACGCATGAAAACCGATTCGATATTTTATGCCCGAGATTATATAATATAATACTACTCTTCCCTACGAATGTGACGAGCAACTGGTTATTGATCAATAGTCGAGATTTTGGCGCGTTCTGAAGGATATTCGCGCTCCCTATTGTAATTTTTCTCCTATTCAAGGTATTACTACACATTAAATTAAGGTTGGCTAATAACTAGTTAATAAGTTGATAACTTTTAACTTAGCTTAGTTAAGTTAAAATGTATTAATTGTTAACTTCAACTAGTTATTTTTGATCTTACACTTATTAACTTTTTACCTAACAATAAGTTAATTTTTTTTGTCTGAATATCATTATTATTGTTTTTTTATAAATTATAATCGTATTATTTTTATGTTTATTTGTCATTAATTGTAATTAGCAAAAAATATATTTCTGTATAAAAAGCAAAATTATTTATTTTTTATTATAAATTTTAAAAGATTTAACAAACAAAATTCTAATTTAATATAAGTAATGTTTTGAAAAATTAAATTAAATTTTAATTAACTTTTAATTTAACTTCAGTGAATTTAATCTTAACTTAACTTTAACGGAGTTAATTTTTTATTCATGCAACTTTTAATTTAACTAAACTTATAAGCAACTAATTTTAACTTAATTAACTTAGTTTAAAAAAAATCATTAACTTACTCAACTCTGCTATACATTAAATACTGTACACAAAAAGAAGGTTTAACTTTTCATGCCTAAATTTTAGCCGTGAAAATAAATATTTTTAAGCTGGAAATTTTCTGTTACATTATAGTTAAAAATATTAATTATCACAGAGGTAAAATTTAGACATGGCAACTAAATTTTAGATGTAACACAGGAACTAGGAACATCTAAAATTTAGCTACGGTAGCTAATATCTTTTTCGTGTAAATGACATTATGTTTCAAAATTTGCTAATGCAAATATGTACTTGTAAATTGGGAAAAATATACTTAAGAAATAAATAAGATTTTTTTTACTTTAAAGATGTAATCATATCAATAAGTCCATTTTAACTAAAATATATTTGAAAAAAGCTTGAATGCACAAAAATATTTTATTGAAATATTATTGAAATATATTCATAAAAAGAGTGCATCTAGACACAGGTGTGACCCAGAAAACAAAATGTTAATTTTTATGGTTAAAAAATAAAACAACGGATAGGTATATCAATACATTTCAATCAAAGAGTATTTAAAGAAGAAGAAAAAAAATGTAAATTTGAACGTGTATAAAACGTGATTAATGAAACACAATATTTATTGAAAAGAGAAGATGAGGCATTATTGAAAGATTCGCATAAAGGGCGTATCTAAACACACACGTAACCCAGAAAACTAAACTATTTATTTTTCCGATTTAAAGAGAAACGTATATAATGGATATATCTCACGTAGTCCCGCATTCTGCTGCATCATAACGGGATAAATGAAATTGAATGGGATCCGCGTCTCCGGCTGTCTCGGGGAAAAGCGAGAGAGAGAGACTCTCTTTCCATTTCTCCTGGCGATCGCGATACGTCGCGACATTTAACATTTAACACTTCTGTGTGTCTCTCGCCGTTTTTGCTTAACATTCTCCTCTCGCGCTTTCGAAACAATTAACTCTGTCATATGTACGTGCGGAATGAAAAGAGGCGCGGAAGCCGGAACGGAACGCGATGCTCCGCTCTCTGGAGTCGCCGAAGGCGGTCGTATTATCTTCCTCGTTTCACGGCGCTATTGTTATTGTGTCTCGCGATGATACTTTCGTTCGCGTATAGCTGCCGGCTGCCTTCGAAACCACCGCCTTGATTCGCGCCTCCGCTCCGGAGAACGTGATTGCGCCGGAGAATTCTACCGGATGAAGATTAATTTTTTACGGTAACGCATGTTATTGTCCGCAGTTATCTCTCTCTTCTCGATATATAGGGATTATACGTGCGCAGAGAGAATTTTCTCGTAAAATTTACCCTCAAAATCATGGTAATCGTATAATATATTATACGATATTAACAACAACAACAACAATATTAACAACAATAACAACAACAACAATATTAACAATAATAACAACAACAACAATAATAATAATAATAACAATAATAATAAAAAGAATAATAACAACAATAACAACGTAGAATTTACTCACAAAATCATGGTAATCGTCGTACAATATATACGAATAAATAACAATAACAACAATAATAACAATAATAATAAAAGGAATAAGAATAACAACAGTAACAGTAACAACAGTAATAATAATAATAATAATATTATAATCTAATTATAGTAATAATTATAATCAGATTACTTACTAAATAATTTAGTAACTATCAGCACATCAACCAAATAAGGCTTTTTAAGATAATTTAGTACTAATTATCAAACTATTTAGTAATTATCACCAAACTATTTGATAATAAGTACTACATAATTCAGTTTGTTCAATTAAACGCAAAATTTGCCCTTTTAAAATATTTATAATTATTATCAAACTTTTATTCCAAATTTATATTAAATTATACAAAAATTTTATTCTTATTATTATAATTAATAATAATCAAATATTTAAAAAAAGTATTACTAAATACATCTCATAAGTTTATCTATGCAGAATCTTTTTCAGTGTATATGATATTGGAAGAATTTTAAATATTAACCTCATTAAACACATTTAAATATATTTTATATATTTATTTAAATATTATATTTATTATATAATAAATATAATATTAAATATTAAAATAAGTGCAAAAAAATATAAATATAAAAATAATGAATATAATAAATATTTTATTACAGTAAACATTAATATTTTTATTATAAGTAATAAATATATTAATCAGAAAAACTCTTCTAAAATTCTCTCTGTGTGAATATGTCGGACATCTCTTATTCATTTTTTCCGAATATTGTGATTATAAATACGAGTATTACTTGAATCGTACAAGAGACGTCAGAACTTTGGATCTCGTGTCCAGAATAATTTCGAGTATGTCTGTCTTGAAAAGGTATAAGATAATATGAATAATATCCGCATTTTTCGTATGCAAAACACGCGTTCCTCGCGTACCACGTATTCTTTTCTTCTATATACGAAATATGGCGAAAACAATTCAGAATTTTGAGAAGGTAGATGTTACTCGGACTAAATTAATAAGTGATAAATCGACAAATTAATCTGGTTTTATTTCAAAATAATTTTATTAAAATTCGTAATTCCTTTATTTATTTCCTCCATTAAATTATAGGAACTACCTTGTTTTGTATCTTATTACGTTGCTTCATAACAATGAAGCGAATATACTCTCGACGCTGCTAATCTAATTTTTGAATGAGAGAGAGAGAGAGAGAGAGAAAAATAGAGAGACGGATAATTCGTTTAAAAATTATTCCCGTCAAAAAATTTTTTTTAATTTGTTTTTTCTATTTATTTTGCGCTTTGCAAAAATACAAAAATAAAATTTAAAAAAAATATATATGAGAGAGATACACATATATACGAGCTTATCTCATCTCCGCGAGAAAATGCAATTTTATTTGAATTATCGTTGTTAAAAAAAAAAAAATAGAAAAAGGTTAAATAAAACGAAAGAGAAAATCCACGCCGAGATATTCTCTCTTTACACTAGTCGTCGATCGGTTTTGCGCGACCGCAGCAAGTCGATCGTGAAATACCTCCGCGATATTTTCATCTTTGCCGCGCCTTCGTTTGTGACACGCGGTTTATTTTGCGCCGTTGACCGCACTTTCATTGACGTACGAAGGTTACGCGGAGTCCTTGTCGGCGGTGGAATTCGAAGGGCCGGCCTTGGGATTCTACCTGGTATCGGCCGGTCCTCCTCCGTATCCTCCAGATGCTGCTGGAGAGATGAAACAAAAAGAGCCGTGAACGCGCATCATTCGGTCCGGCGATCTTTCCTCTCGCGAAACGCGTTTCTCGCTGTTTATACACAGGGTGTCCCGAAATTCGCGGATCATCTATTCATAGCGAATTTTTAGGATCATTCGGAGGTGATTTTTCCTCGGTGAAAATGCAGAGTGTCCACGCAGAGAAAATTTTCTCTTAGAATTTACCCGAAAAATCTTGGAACAGTATGATATTGGAAGAATTTTATAAGAGTTTTTCTGATTATATTTACCACAATAAATAGATTAATATCTACCACAATGAGATATAAAATATATTTGATTAATTTTGCTATGTACATAGTAAAATTTTTATTGTGATATTAATATTATTTATATTAATATTTAATTATTGTGGTATTAATATTTTTATTTAATATATTTTTATTGTGGTAAATTAATATTAATATTAATATTTTTTTATTGTGGTAAACATTAATCAGAGGAACTCTTATAAAATTCTTCTAATACCATATTGTCCCATGATTTTCAGGGTAAATTCTCAAAGAAAATTCTCTGTATAGCGGTCATAGAATCTGGAAACCGGGTCAGGGAATTTTATAAATCTGGAATTGTCAGGGAATAATTAGGAAATTTTACTATTTATCTGGATTTTTTCACATTACTCTACATTTGTCTGAATAATTTGAAATTTTTTATTAAATAAATATGAAATAAATAAATATAAAAACTTTTTTATTAAATAAATATAAACTTTTCCTCGACTCTCAGCACGCTAATTTTCTGTGTTGTTAAAATTCGATTCATCTACAGCGTGTTTGTCAATTTATATTTTCATCGTCGTGTTATTTTATTTCAATGTATTATATATTTCAAAATATGTTATAACATTGCTCAAGAATTATAATATTGTTCAAGAACTTTATTTTAATTCATTTTTTTATTAAAAATGAATACATTAATTTTTTATTAAAAGTGTTTAATTTAAAAGTTTTGTTGCGATATTAGATATTATTAAATATATTAAAATATATGTATTATAATTTATATGAAAATTATATATTTGGAAAAAATAATACTAAAAAGTCAGGGAAAAAATTAGTTTCTGGTCTTGGAAAATCTGAAAAAGTCAGGGAATTTTTTTCATTGAGTCTGCTAGACATCCTGAAATTGAGACACCGATAATTTTTGAATTATAAGCAAAAAATTTAAAATAAAAGGTTTTTTTCGCAAACTAAGCTTTGTAATTAGAGAGAATTTTCTCTTAGATTTTATTCTGAAATTCATGGTGATTGTAGAATAATATTGAAAATTTTATAAAAGTTTCTCTCTGATTAATATTTATATCGCAATAAAAAATATTAATATCTACCACAATAAGATATAAAATGTTTGATTTTACTAAAATATATAATAGTAAAATTTTAATAATTTTAAAATATTTTAAAATCTATTAAGTGTTTTAAGTAGAATAAATGCCAAAAAAGTGATAAACATGTACACTTTTTTATATAAATTTTACAACGTAGAATATTTTTTTAAATCCAGTTTAATCGCTCATGATAATTTTAACGTGCAGTATGTAATTTTCGGCTTACAACCAAACATGATAAAATTTTGTAGTGAATTTTGCAGTAAGATATAACGAAAAATTCTGTCCGTGTAGAAATAAAATATTAACAAAACCACATTCTGCAATTAATTTCAAGAGTTTATTTTAATCGAATTTTAATTTAAGACTTATATTTACAAACAGATACACGATGGCAAAAATTGGGAATATATGTAAAGAATGATCCTCGAGGAAAAATCGTTTCCAAATAATTCTAGGAATGTGCAGGATCAACAGATTTGGGAATTTCGGGATATCTCGTAGATCCCTTTTCTCTACTCAAAGTATTAAGAAAATTTCCAGAGTTCGAAGGAGAAACGAATATTAAAATTAATTGTAAGTGAAAGATGCTTAAGCTATGAAAAAACTTGATCTCGTTCGAGTCGGAAGTGATTTTCATATTTCATATTGCATCGATGTACGAGATATCATTTATATATAGGCAGTATTTAAGTTGGAATTTCGATGAAAGATGAATGAGAGTGAGCGCGATATTTATTTGCTTCTCAGATCTCCCGATTGAAATTCTTTATATTTCTTCTCTCTTTGTAAGAGATACGAAAGATTCTTATTTCTCGTCAATATAGTATATTTCGATATATTCGACAGATTACGCGAGCATGTTTTTTCAAATTTTTATTTGCTTTTAAATTCTTTAAATTTTACATATGAATTTCGTCATACATGTTTTTTTTAAATATTTTCATAAAAATAAAATATATATTTTTTTTCAATATTATTTCCATCGAAAAAAAAATATAATATTTTATCCGAGAACATAGCAATATAATCCTTCCAAACTTCGACCCGCGCATCTGTCACGTGACGCGCGCGTTTCGCGCGCAGGCACTCAAATATTGCGAAAGGTCAAGGAACAATAATGAAGGGCTTTGATCGAAAAGCCGGCGTAATTAAAGCGCGATAATTAATCGGTCGATTCGGCGCGGCGTTCTACGTCGTCATCGTTGTTTTACCTCGACATACACCGATGCATTCGTATATGTGCTTATGTGCATTTATCTTGTTGTTTCAGTTAGCAGTGGGCGGGGGTGGTGCTGTGCTGCTGCTCAGCGAGCTTGAAAGCATGGCAGCCAGGCAGCAGCGGGAAATCGCTCAGCAAAGGCGCCTCCTGGAGCAGAAAGAGGCCCGCTTAGCCGTGCTTCGAGGCGCACAGGTGAGTCCATTTCCGATCGTCCATGAAAAACAACAAAATATCAGCTACCAGGGTTGGGCAGATCTGTATCTTCAAGTAGAGATACGTATTTAAATGTGTATTTTATTTAAATACAGTATTTAAATACCGAATACTCGAGTATTTTGAATTTTGCAATTAATTGTTTTATTTAAATGTATCTTGTATTTAAATCTATTTATGTAATTACATATATATCTATGTATCTTCAAGTAGAGATACGTATTTAAATGTGTATTTTATTTAAATACAGTATTTAAATACCGAATACTCGAGTATTTTGAATTTTGCAATTAATTGTTTTATTTAAATGTATCTTGTATTTAAATCTATTTATGTAATTACATATATATCTATGTATCTTCAAGTAGAGATACGTATTTAAATGTGTATTTTATTTAAATACAGTATTTAAATACCGAATACTCGAGTATTTTAAATTTTGCAATTAATTGTTTTATTTAAATGTATCTTGTATTTAAATCTATTTATGTAATTACATATATATCTATGTATCTTCAAGTAGAGATACGTATTTAAATGTGTATTTTATTTAAATACAGTATTTAAATACCGAATACTCGAGTATTTTGAATTTTGCAATTAATTGTTTTATTTAAATGTATCTTGTATTTAAATCTATTTATGTAATTACATATATATCTATGTATCTTCAAGTAGAGATACGTATTTAAATGTGTATTTTATTTAAATACAGTATTTAAATACCGAATACTCGAGTATTTGAATTTTGCAATTAATTGTTTTATTTAAATGTATCTTGTATTTAAATCTATTTATGTAATTACATATATATCTATGTATCTTCAAGTAGAGATACGTATTTAAATGTGTATTTTATTTAAATACAGTATTTAAATACCGAATACTCGAGTATTTCGAATTTTGCAATTAATTGTTTTATTTAAATGTATCTTGTATTTAAATCTATTTATGTAATTACATATATATCTATGTATAATATAATATATACTATTATATATTTATTTTAATTATTATTATTTTATAAAGTTTAATTAAATAAATTTATCTTTCAAAGTGTTGAAATTAACTCATTTTTGATATTATTTTCATATAATTCTACCGTCAGACTATATTATATTTAATATTAAAGTAATTACAATAAAATCATCTACTATTATTTTATTTCTTACTAATAGTAGATAATCTTTTTGTAATTACTTTAATATTAACTATATAGTATATAATCAGAAAATTTTAAAAATAATTGTATTTGAAAGTATTTATAAATGTATTTAAATATAATTAGTATTTAAATATATTTCAAAACCAAAATATTTCAATACTATTTAAATATATGTCAAACAGTATCTTGTATCTCGTATTTAAATATTTTGTTTCGAAGTATCTGCCCAACCCTATTAGCTACCATATATTTAAATTTTAGCTTTCTCTATATTACATCTGAAATTTAATTATCACATTCCTTTTTGTCATTTATAAATTTTAACTATGGTAATTAATATTTTTTAACTATAATTAAACAGAAAATTCTTTGTTTAAACTATTGTAAGCAGAAAAAAATTGTTAAATGTATTGCAGGTTGAAAAAAAATTGTTAACTTGACTAAATCTTTCAATGAAATTACTATTTTGTTAATTGAACGTATATATTAATTAGTATTTAATTCCAAATATACTTACGTTTTGTTAGATTTAATATATTATACTTAATTTAAATATTTTATATGTTTAATTAACAAAATAATATATATAGTTGAAAGGTTCAGTCACGTTGATAATTTTTTTCAGTGCACTTGAAATTTAATTATTATGTCTAGTTATGACAGTTAATATTTTTTAATTGTAGTTTAACGAAGAATTCTTTGTTTAACTATAATTAAAAAATACTAGTTACCAAAATTGCTAAAATTTAGAGATGATATATAGGGACAGCTGAAATTTAGTTGTGATGAGGCTAATATTTTTCTTCCGTGAAAAAAAAAAATTAGCATAGCTAAATTTTAGCTATCTCTCTATATTATATCTGGAATTTAATTATCGTGTCAGAATTTTAGCTAATTATAGCTAATTAATATTTTCAAGCTAATAATTTAATAGAGAATTCCCCAGTAAATTATAGTTAAAAATATTAGTTATCATATAGCTAAAATTTAGATTAAATTCTACGTAATATAGGAACATCTAAATTTAGCCATGATATGATGAAATATGTCATTATTGAAAATCGCGCTCTCGAGCATTTACTTTGAGAATAAAATTTAGAGACACGTAGTATATATAATTTGTCAATTGCATCGAAATATTCTATTGACGAGAAGAATCTTTTATATTACGTACAAAGAAATAATGGAAAGAATTTTTCAGTCGAAAGATCTGAGAATCAAATAAATAGCGAACTCTCATCTTTCATCGAAATTCTAACTTTAATATTGTCTATAAATAATACCTCATATATATCGATGCGAGATAAAATAATTTCGTTTATTGTATCCGACATAAAATATTAAGTTACTTGCATTATTAAAATTGGAAATCATTTTTGACTCGAAAAAAGTCGATTTTTCATTGATTAAGCATTTTCCACTTAATTAGTTTAGGAATATACATTTTTTAAAATAATTAAGGGATAAAACAAATTGTCCAAATAATAAGCAAATTTTAAATAGCTGTAACTTTGTTTCGAAAAGTGATAACTTAAATTTTAAACAAGGGTTTTAAAGCTTAGAATCTCTACTTTCGAAAGGTCATAGCTTTTTTTATTTTCTTCAATTCTATGATATTTCTTACATAGAGAAAACAACGAACATAACGAAATGGAAAATTTTCTTCTCATTTTATAGACATGTCGCATGCACAAGAAGATTTGACAAATTTTTAGACATTTTCTCGTTAAAGCCTGCAGTTTTCCCTGCAAAATCGTTTTCTAAACTTTAAATTTCCATCTTTCCTTATCAAGTTATCGCAAATTGAAGAGAAAATGTCATTTTTACTTTAATTGTTCATAACTCCGTTAAAAATCATCGTACAGCAATTTTAAGAATGGATTCTTAAAGCTGAATCTTTGCTTTATAGTATGATATAGAGACTGAATTTTTTTTAACTCGTGAACTTTTTACAAATAGGTGAAAATAACGAAGAAAATCGCAAGTTTTCTCCTTTTTGTTTAAATTTTGAAAAAAGTTATCTAAAGTAATTAAAATTTTTATCGATTGAAAGTTTTGTGCTTTCTAGTACCCCAAACTTGGAAAAAAATCACAGACTTGCTGTGATAATTTCTTTATAGTGATCTGTATGTTTAAAATAATCGATGTGTGTATAATATAGTTAAAAAATCTTAATTCTCTTTGATAAAAAATATTAAAAAAATAAAATCCACGGCAGAACAATCTTTTCTCCACTTTCTAACATAATTTTTTAATTTTCAATATAAAATTTAAAAAATTTATGTAAAGTTGCATATCATTTCCAAAATTACCGTCGACGTCAGCTTCACCCAAAGCGCGCCACATGGAAGTTGTACGATTGGATTTGTTTTCTAGGTGAAGCTGATGAGAAAAAAATTCAGCCTCTATCATACTATAGAGCAAAGATTCAACTTTAAGAATCCATTCTTAAAATTGCTGTACGATGATTTTTAACAGAGTTACAAACGATCAAAGCAAAAATGACATTTTCTCTTCAATTTCCGATAACTTGACAAGGAAAGATCGAAATTTAAATTATAAAAAACGATTTTGCAGGGAAAACTTCAGGCTTTAACGTAAAAATGTCAAAAAAATTTTCAAATCTTCTTGTGTATGCGATACGTCTTACAAAGTGAGAAGAAATTTTTCCATTTCGTTATTTCGTTCATTGTTTTCTGTATATAAAAAATATCAGAATTGGAGAAAATGAAAAAAACTATGACTTTTCGAAAGTAGAGATTTCAAGCTTTGAAACCCTTTTTTAAAATTTAAATTATCATTTTTTTTAAACAAAGTTACAGCTATTTAAAATTGCTTATTTTTTGGACAATTTTTTTGATCCTTTAACTATTTTGAGAAGTGTAATATTTACTTCTTTGTCAAGTCCTGAAGATTTCCCTGACACTTTGCACGGAGGAAAAGGATAATATATGAGCAGTCTTTCGCGAGAAAAGAGCGCTGGACCGAATAATATGCTCTTTTTGAGAGAATCCAGTCTCTAGAAAATTAATAAATATATCACATTAAAATTTCCTCTATTTTATTGCTTACATTTTTATTTATAGGAAATTCTCTCGTCGGTGATGGACAAATTTTGAAACACTGTTTGCGATAGTGTTATTTTCGTGTCTATTTCGTTTTCTATCTCTGAAGCCATCATTCATCCTATTAGGCGGATATTCATCATCTGCCTACAATAGTCGTATTAACGTACTGTTTACTGTTTCAGGAGCCAGCACAGCAGGACAGACTCGCTAGATTGAGGCACAAACTGGACCAGCAACAGAGCAAGCTGAATCGACTGCGATTACTCAGATCGCAGACGGATCAGTCGCGTGTCAACAATGCAACATTGAGTAAGTTTATCAGTATTTCTCTTGTATCTAATTCTATTCAACGTTTGAATTATCTGATACTCTACAGACAAAAGTAGATATTTTTATGCATTTGAATTTACTTTTATTTTATATTTTTTTTAAATCAACGAAAATGATTTTTGAACTTTGTCAAAATCGACAAAAAACGACATAAAATTGATGAAGGATTGATAGCTCAACGATATTTTTCGGCGGATATTTATATTTCTTCGCAAATATGTAATCAATGTTGCGGAAATTACGAGGGAAAAGCTCTTTCCTGCTGGAAAGTTATTACTTTCTTTCATATAGAATAAAATATAAAGTGGAAAAAATATTTAGTCCAGTAAAATTAAACTTTGACTTCATAAAAATTAGAAGCAAGCTGAATTTTTGTGGAGGCCTTTATTTTGATGTTCTAATGAAATCCTGAAAAGTACTCTTAATTTCATCCAGGGCGTTTTTTAATGGGAAGAAAGGGAATAAATTTTAGTTTTTGCCACTATTTCGAAAACTATCAATTTTTCGAGAAAAATAATTCTTATCAAAATTGTAGCTCATAAAATTCCCTACAAAAAAGGTCATTATACTTTTTTTCGTGGAATTAATCCTTTCGAAGATATAGAGCGAGAAAAACGCGGTGGTATGGAAAGAAGTACGTATTTTTTACGAACTACAGACTGCAACTTTACCGTTTTACTGGAAAACGATTAGTATAATGACTTTTTTTGTACAGAATTTTATGAGGTACAATTTTTATAATAACAATTTTTCTCGGAAAGTTTATAATTTTCGAGATAATGGCAAAAAACTAAAATTTATTCCCCATAAAAAAAAACGCTTTGAATGAAATTAAGGATACTTTTCAGGATTTCATTAGAACATCGAAATAAAGGTCTCCGCACAAAAATTCAGCTTGCTCCTAATTTTTATGAAGGTTTGCTCTCTTTTCAAGTCTAATTTTACTAATTTAGATAAAATATTATTTAGGGAACCACTTCTCGCATTCGTTATCGTTAAAGATGCGTTAACGCATCTGAATTTAACTCTAATGGTGGGGAAAAAAAAACATTTTGTTTCTACATGTTTGACACATATGTTCCTCAAATTGATCGATTTTTTGAGTCTCGAAATTTATCGCGTATCTATACATATATTCCCGCGTTTGCGGCGCGAATTGATGTATATGCTGTCACACGCTGTATTCCAATTCGTAATAAAAGCTACGCACGGAGCTTGGCATACACTCACGTGCGCATACCTTGTTAATTGAGCATTGTGCGGATCGTTACATCTATACGGCGCACTGAAAAACGATAACTGCGGTTTGCAATGCGACACGTCGTCGCGATAATAGCTTCGGAAAGGAAAGGGCGAAACGCACGCTTCGTTACAGAAATTCTCTAACGAGTCGACACGCCAGTGAACCGTAAATTCTACACTTCACAACAATACCCGAGCAAAAAAAAAAGAGACTATAATGATCTGCCGAGTCTATATGTATATACGATCGTCGCTTTAATAAACGAATAAACTTGCGAGAGCCTTATATAACGGAAATAGAGGAAATTGCTCCGTCAGAAATATTTTCTAGAACAAAATATTCATTATCAAATATTTTGACGTTTCGACGTTGAAACGTAAAACTTATGTAATTTCCGCGAACGCAGATTTTGAAATATTTTTTTATTTAACGTGCACGGAAAAGAAAAAATTCTTAACTTGACTAAACCTTTGAACTAAATATTATTTGTTAATTGAACATAAAATTTAAATTAAATATAATATATTAAATCTAACACACAAAACGTATTTAATTGAATGGTTTAGTCAAATTAAAAAAAATTTTTTTTCCAGTGTAGTTATACGACAAAATATTTTTCTCTCACTCTCTTTCCACAATATTTTTAATTTATTAAATAACGAGAATGAATTCAGTTTTATATACAATATTTTATTTATGAATATAATTTATTACACTTAATTTTATTAATTTTATTCATTAATTACTTATTTTATTATAATTGATTATTTATTAATTTATTTATATTATATATTTATTAATATATATTAATAAAATATTTATATTACTTTTGGTATTTTAAAATTATTGTGATTGGTGTTTGATATTGATTGTTCAGTTTTATTCTACTGCACACAAAAACTTTTCCTTTAAGAATCGTAACAAAATCTTCATTTTTAAATTTTAAAATGAGAAAAATTATGTTCAAATCAATTTAAATTTATACGTAAGAATTTTTTCAATGTTATTACAAGTGAAAAATGAGCATACGAGTTTTTTTGCATCTGCACTATAAATTCCCTTCTGGTTTCTTGCTCCTGAATCTCATCCGTCGAAGCAGCGATGTGTATCTCATTTTTTTTGGCAAGGATCCGCAAAACTTGCTTCAATAATCGCGCAAGATTTATCACTTCTTTTCTCGAAGTCACAGGAAACGCTTTACTTTCAACTTTCGACCCTTTTAATTTGTAATCACGACGTCTCTAAACCTGCCGCCTGTACTATATATTGTCTTTTGCAGGGACCTTTGAAAGTTTAAATAGCTAAACTCGTTGTGCAATTTGCCATAAGCTCAAACGGGCAAGAAATCTTCCGGCTGAAATAAGGAATTTCCTCGCGTGAACGTAGTATATACACTTCCGTATATACGATTTCCCGATGGACTTGAACTAATTTATCCTGCGATGCACACCTGGGTTAACCGTATACTCGGTCGTTCTTTCGATTGTATTCTTGCGAAATTCTCCATTAATTTTACACGAGGTGGAACGAAAAAATCATATGGATTCTGTGTCGAGGCACCAACAATTTTCAAGTTATTATTGATTGACAAAGAAGAGTTTCTCACAAACTAAATTTTGTAGAGTTAAAATATTAACAAAATTACAGTTTTTAAATAGAGTTTATTTTAATAGAATTTTAATCTATTAATTTGTGTTAAATTTTATAAATGATAATGGTAACATTATGTTAATGTTTTAACATAAATGCAAATTTCAAGTAAACTTAAAATAAATTTTGTGTAAAATTAACATGGTTTTAACGTAGAAATGGACTAAACAAAAATATTAATTTTATTCTCACTTATAAAATGAAATGAACATTTTCTGTAAATTTTAACAGATAAATCTTGTCTCTAATAACACCAAACATATTGTGTAAAATTAAAAATAAATGCAGAATTGCACAATTTAATTATTTCAATAATTTCACATTTGAGTTCAATTAATACAACAGCAATGTGTTAAATTAACACATGAATGTATTAAACATTTAACGTAAAAATAACATAAAAAACACAAATCTTTCAACTGTGCGAGGAAGAATTTCATGATTTAATTAATTTATCATATAGATATATGTAAATGATATATTTGGAAAAAATAATACTAAAAAGTCAAGGAATTTTTTTCATTGAGTCTGCTGGACACCCTGAGTTACACCCTGTATATACAAAATATTAAGTTCGATATACATAAACGCGAGAGTCTGAACATCTGAATATAATAATGCTCGGGGGAAAGAATGGATTTTTTTTCGGAATATTAAATCGTGTTCTTCAGCCACGTTAAGCTATGGCGAATGTTAAATCGCAGAGGCGCTCGAAGATAAAAACGATAATTTTCCCCGTTTTCTCGACCCATTTTCGTAGATCGGAGCGATATTTCGACGGCAATCCATCTGGTTTCGGTTGAAACTGGCGATAAGAGAGATTTATCTTGTCTTCGCATTGGAAGGTACGATTAATCTTCGGCATCGGGAGCCCCCGACGACATCGAGAGCACACTCGACACAAGTTATCCGGGGGAGGATACTCTTTACCGGGGTACATAAAATGAAATCCAAATACACACAAATGGAGAGAGCTAGTGAGAGAAGGTTTGAAAACGAGTCGAAATTCTCGCGTGCTCCTCCGCTGTTCGATGAGGCCGGAGAAAATCATCCCCTCGACGAGGGAAAATAAATTGGAAAGATCCGAGACTTCATACTTTTACAGGAATGCAATCGCGCATAGAACTCATCCGCGGTCGCACATCGCCGATAAATCATATTCTCCCGAAATATTCCGCGGTCCGGGAAGATAAACCGAGAGAGGAAGGGAATCTCTCGATCGATTCGTCTCTCCTTAATTCGTTAACGTCACTTTATTATTTATCGAGCTGCGCTCGAAATCGATCCCCGAGCCTTCCATCATCACACTTTATTTGTCATCGAAATGAAGTGATTCGTATTGTAAGAGAGGCAAGGAGCGAAAATTGTGTGTCGGCACAACTACTTATACATACGTCTGTATATACATCAGGGTTGGCCAGATACTTCGAAATAAAATAATTAAATACAAGATACTGTTTGACATATATTGAAATACTATTGAATACTATATTGAATACTATTTAAATACTATTGAATACTATTTAAATACTATTGAATACTATTTAAATACTATTGAATACTATTTAAATACTATTGAATACTATTTAAATACTATTGAATACTATTTAAATACTATTGAATACTATTTAAATATGAATATTAAATACTGAATTTAAATACTGTTGAATACTATTTAAATACTGTTGAATACTATTTAAATACTGTTGAATACTATTTAAATACTGTTGAATACTATTTAAATATGTTGAATACTATTTAAATACTTGAATACTATTTAAATATGTTGAATACTATTTAATACTGTTGAATACTATTTAAATACTGTTGAATACTATTTAAATACTGTTGAATACTATTTAAATACTGTTGAATACTATTTAAATACTGTTGAATACTATTTAAATACTGTTCGAATACTATTGAAATACTATTGAATATTATAGAAATATTTTGGTTTTGAAATATGTATATTTAAATACTAATTGTATTTAAATACATTTATAAATACTTTTAAAAATGAAATTTTTTAAATAATAATAATAGTAGACGATTTTATTGTAATTACTTTAATATTAAGTATAAT